CCGTCCCCCCCGGTGCCCACCTTGGCCTTGCCGGTGCTCTGCAGGATGTGCACGAGCGCGCAGGCCACCTCCTCCTTGCTCTTGACGCTGAGCACGGGCTCCAGGACGGCGCAGAGCATCCGGTAGTTGTTGGTGACGTACTCGGCGAACTCCTTGTAGAGCTCCATGGGCAGGATGCTCATGGTCTGGAAGCGGCTCTTGACCCGCAGCGCCGGGCACCCGGCCTTGCTCTTGCTGCCGCTGGGCTGGCTCAGGGGGTACCACTGCTCGGCGAAGTGGCGCCCGGTGACGCTGGCGATGGGGATGCTCACCATGCCCACGTAGTTGCTCTTGTCCTTCTTCCTCTTCTTGTCGGTGTCCTTGTAGAGGTGGAGGCGGATGGTGCGCACGGCGGGCAGGTTGTTGAACTCGAAGTGCTCGCCCCAGAAGACGTTGTCGGTGCGGGCCTTGCTGGTGGTGCGGGCGTAGAGCATGTCGTCCAGGCACAGCTCGCAGTAGTAGCGCTTCTTGGGCGGCAGGTCGCGCGCCTCGATCACCCACAGCTTCAGCACGTTGTCCACGCGCCGGCTGTTGTCCTGCGCCGGGGGCGGGGAGGGCGGGTGAGCGGCCTCGGTCACGCCGCGGCCGGCCCTGGCACCACCACTTGACCACTGACACCAGTTGACCACTGACACCGGTTGACCATCGACACCAGTTGACCACTGACACCAGTTGGCCATTGACACCAGTTGAGCACCCTCAAACTCATCAGTTGACCACCGACACCAGTTGGCCATGGACACCACGACCATTCTCATCCCCATCACCAGTTGATCACCAAACACCAGTTGACCATCACCACCAGTTGACCACAGATATCAGCTGACCATCGGCACCAGTTGACCACCAACACCAGTTGACCATCGACACCAGGACCATTCTCATCCCCATCAGTTGACCACCAACACCAGTTGATCATCGACACCAGCTGACCATCAACACCAGTTGACCACTCTCAACCTCATCAGTTGACCATCGACACCAGTTGACCATGGAGATCAGTTGACCATGGACACCACAACCATTCTCGTCCCCACCAGTTGACCATGGGTACCAGTTGACCACTGACCCCAGTTGACCACTGACACCAGTTGACCGTGGACACCACAACCATTCTCATCCCCATCACCAGTTGATCATCAAATACCAGTTGACCACCGACACCAGTTGACCATCGACACCAGTTGACCACCCTCAACTTCACCAGCTGGCTACTGACACCAGTTGAGCATGGATACCATGACCATTCTCACCCCCACCAGTTGACCACCCACACCAGTTGACCATCAACCCCAGTTGAACATCCTCATCCCCACCAGCTGACCACCGACACCAGTTGACCATTGACCTCAGTTGACCACTGACCTCAGTTGACCACCCTCAACCTCATCAGTTGACCCTGGACACCAGTTGATCATGGACACCATGACCATTCTCATCCCCACCAGCTGACCATTGACATCAGTTGACCATGGACACCACGACCGTTCTTATCCCCACCACTTGACCACCCAGCAACAATACTTGACCATTGACACCAGTTGACCATGGACACCATGACCATTCTCATCTCCATCAGTTGACCACCAAAACCAGTTGACCATGGACACCAGTTGACCACTGACACCAGTTGACCGTGGATACCACAACCATTCTCATCACCAGTTGAGCATCAAACACCAGTTGACCATCAACACCAGTTGACCACCCTCAACCTCATCAGTTGACCACCAACACCAGCTGACCACGGACACCAGTTGACCATGGATATCAGTTGACCGTGGACACCAGTTGACCACTCTCAACCTCATCAGTTCACCACTGACACCAGTTGACCATGGACACCAGTTGACCGTGAACACCATGACCATTCTCATCCCCACCACTTGACCACCCACCAATAGTTGACCATCGACACCAGTTGACCACCAACACCAGTTGATCATCAGCACCATGACCATTCTCATCCCCATCAGTTGACCACCAACACCAGTTAACCATGGACACCAGTTGACCACTGACACAAGTTGACCATGGACACCACAACCATTCTTATCCATACCAGTTGGCAATCGACACCAGTTGACCATCGATCCCTCTTGACCACCTTCAACCTCACCAGTTGACCCCTCCATGACCAGTTGACCATTCCCATGACCAGTTGACCACTTCCATCACTACTTGACCATCTCCATCACCAGCTGACCACTCCATGACCAGTTGACCCCTCCATGACCAATTAACCCTTCCATGACTGGTTGACCACCCCCATCACCAATTGGCCCCTCCATGACCACTTGACCATCTCCATCACCAACTGACCCCTCCATGACCAACTGACCACCCCCATGAACAACTGACCACCCCCATGACCAGCTGACCACCCCCATGACCAGCTGACCACCTCCATGACCAGTTGACCACCCCATCACCAGTTGACCACCCAGTTGACCACCTCCATCACCACTTGACCCCTCCATAACCACTTGACCATCTCCATCACCAGTTGACCCATCCATGACCATTTGACCCCCCCATGACCAGTTGACCCCTCCATGACCAGCTGACCACCCCCATCACCAGTTGACCACCCCCATCACCAGTTGACCACCCCCATGACCAGTTGACCCCTCCATGATCAGTTGACCACCCCCATGACCAGTTGACCACCCTCATCACCAGTTGACCACCTCCATGACCACTTGACCACCTCCATGACCACTTGACCATCTCCATCACCAGTTGACCCCTCCATGACCAACTGACCACCCCCAATGACCACTTGACCACCTCCATGACCACATGACCCCCATGACCAGCTAACCCCTCCATGACCAACTGACCACTCCCATGACCAGTTGACCCCTCCTCATCACCAGTTGACCACCTCCATGACCACTTGACCCCTCCATCACCACTTGACCATCTCCATCACCAGTTGACCCCTCCGTGACCAAGTGACCACCCCCAATGACCACTTGACCACCTCCATGACCAGTTGACCACCCCCATGACCAGCTGACCACCCCCATCACCAGTTGACCACCTCCATGACCAGTTGACCCCTTCATGACCAACTGACCACCCCCATGAACAACTGACCACCCCCATCACCAGTTGACCACCCCCATCACCAGTTGACCACCTCCATGACCAGTTGACCACCCCCATGACCAGTTGACCACCCCCAT